AAATTCTACGATATACACGAAAAAGCAACCACCCAAATATCACCAATAGAAAACCAAATTAGGCTGAAAACGGCAAACACTGACCCAACTCTTCAAGTCCCACCCGACAACACACACTGCACGCTGACTTCATTACAGAAGATAATCAAAAACCTTCCAAACAACAAAGCACCAGGACCGGATGGTATCACTGCCGAAAAAATCAAAAACCTCCCAAAGAAACCACTAATTCAGCTTTACTATATATACAAAGCCTGTCTTCGTACAGCCTATTTTCCCACCTCATGGAAAATCGCAAAAATCATTCCGGTCCCAAAACCTGGTAAACAAAGAGACGACATAACAAGCTACAGACCCATCAGTCTCTTCGACCTTTTTGGAAAGATCTTAGAAAAAATAATCCAACAGCAAATACAAAGACACGTAAGGCAACTTAACTTGATTATCCCTCAACAATTTGGATTTAGGGCCAAGCATTCCGCCATACACCAACTACAACGAGTCACCGAACACATCATAATGGAAAAAAACAAAAAACGTACGACCCAACTAGTTCTACTGGACCTCAACAAAGCATTCGACTCAGTCTGGCATGATGCTCTAATCACAAAACTACAGGACATCAAACTACCAGAAAACATAACATACACAATCAGAAGCTACCTACAAGACAGAAAATTCTACGTAACAGTCAACGGAACTAAATCCGCGCACAAGCAAATTACTGCAGGGGTACCACTGAGATTTGCTGGAATTATGGTCGATAAAATTTTCCGAGCATCTACAGGCGCCTACAATATCATAAGAGCAATTTTTTTAACCTCTTGCGTTAGTAACTGGTTCACGAACCGTAACGAGTGACCAAACCGTATACAATAATTCGTCTTCTTTTTGAATTCATTGGTATATCACTAGATAGAAATTACTAAGAAGTAATAAATTTATTATTTGTTTTGCCTGGGTTACTTAACCTCTTGCACTGGAATGACGTGCCGCGCACGTCGAGAATTTTTTGTTCCAAAATTGTAATATTTTTTCAGTTTTAAGTATATTTAAGTAAAACAAAATAGGCAACACAAATAATAAATTTATTACTTCTCAATAATTTCCATCCAGTGATATCATACCGACGAGTATCAAAACGAAAGCGTCGAATTATTGTATACGGTTTGGTCACTCGTTATGGTCCGCAATCAGTTGCCTAGCGCAAGTGGTTAACGATACCTATAAGTAATGTCGTTTTCTGACACTGTAGAAAATTTTATTTTATTTAAAAGTTAATACAGCTTTAATCTGTAATATAATTTAACAATAAACACGCTAACTGTCAATGTACTTAACCAGAATATAGGTTATATTAGGCACAACATAGGTTATGTTATAACATATTATATATTATATATTATAGCACACCATGATAATAATGATTATAATGAGTAAAATTATATGTTTAAGTAAAACAAAATAGGCAAAACAAATAATAAATTTATTACTTCTTAATAATTTCTATTTAGTGATATCATATCTACGAGTTCAGAAAGAAAGCGACGAATTATTTTATACGGTTTGGTCACTCGTTATGGTCCGCAATCAGTAGTCAGAGGGTTAAAATCGTGTAACACACCACTCATTACAACAACGTGCATCTGAGGTTTTTTACTTCCTTTCAGCTTTTCCCGGTGTTCCTCTGTCTGATCGTCGGATTCGCGCTCAGTTTCGCCGTTTTATTCCACGGGAACGACCAATTTAGCAATTTTTGGAACTCCGTCGTGAAGACCGTGGTAATGATGATGGGTGAGTATGATTACGGCGATCTGTTCTCGGAGAACAATGGGAGTTCCTTCCTGCCAGTTACGAGCAGGATCGTGTTCCTTATTTTCGTGCTCGCTAGCATGGTCCTGGTAAACTTGATGATCGGCATCGCGGTCAACGACATTCAGAGCCTTAAGAAAAAGGTACGGTAATTCACCTCTCGAATAGTAATAGTAATAGAAAATCATTGCAAAACCTTAACGATCAATAATTACATTTGAAAACCACACGGGACAAATGTTAGTACACTTTTGTTGATTTTTTTTTTCGTTTCTACGTCGGACTAGTTCTCAACTTCTTAAAATCTTGACAAAAATGAAAGATCCAATCAAATTTTCCCAATAGAGGCGGAGAAAGCTTCATCATAGAATTTTTTCTTGTTCAGTCTAATTTTACTGCGTGTGTATGTACATATATATGTTGGGATGATTGGTTGAATTCAGGGACACATCCTCCAATTGGAAAAGCAGGCAGAGTTCGTGAATCATTTAGAAAGGCTGGCATCATACCGAATCTTTGATTTGGCTTGTTGGCAATGGTTTCTCGCCAAGCTGCGAAAATCAAGGCAATGCTTTCCAACAAAAATTGACTCTCGTAGGTTTGGGTTCCTCTGAGGGTGCCACAAAAACTGCAAAAGGCGTTGCTTCAGCTCGTTTTAGAAAACTTAAACAAGAGGTGAGGAATTTGCTGTCTCGACGAATGGGCAAAATTTTGGTCGATTGCAACCATTTTATGCTCTAATTAATAATTTCGTCCGACAACAGTCCGATTTAAAGAAAACGTTTCCTTTGCAGCAAGAATAAAAAGTCACGATGAAGATGATAAATTGATGAAATTCGAAGATCTATTAATGCAATTTAAGATGTGTAGTTACTCAATTACCATGAAGAATAAGAACAAGCACAACTTGTAACATTATACATTAAAATATGTATATTAAATATATTAAATTTATAAAGTACATTTATATATTAAATTTATAAAGCACATTTATATATTAAATTTATAAAGCACATTTATATATTAAATTTATAAAGCACATTTATATATTAAATTCATAAAGCACATTTATATATTAAATTTTTAAAGCACATTTATATATTAAATTTATAAAGTACATTTATTTATTGTATACCCCGAACAAATGTAATTTGATCATTTGTGTTACAAGTATAAATAATACAAGTGTGAATGATCATGTTATTTGATTGAAAGGAACATTACGCAGAAAAAGTTTATTCGGACTTAATCCAAATGGAAGAATTTTGCTGAAATTTTCGAAACTAAAAACAAAGAAAGCTGTCAATACCAGAAATGAAAATTTTTTATTCTCTAATTATTAAACATTATAATAACTGAATTACAATATTATAATAATATATTATTAAACATTATAATAATTGAATTATAATATTACCTGAACGTTTGCTCTGTTGAAAAATAACGAAAAAGAATTTCAATGTGTTTACATCTGAATTACAAAAGTAGAATAAGATTCTACATGGTCAGACAGTTGAAGTAGAGTGAAATACTACGTAGTCAGACACTCCAAGTAGAATGAGTCCCTATGTGGCAGACATAAATACATGTTGAAGACTGCGGTTTTTAAAAAAAGATAAGTTTATTATACCAATGACTATTCTTTGAAAAAGTATATTGAATTATGTTACTAATTTCACGTGTTTGTCAACTATAATTGTTGACTATAATGTAATTGCGAATAAAGAAAAACGAGAATAGTACCAAGCGAACGTGATATATTATCAAAGTATAACGATATTGTTATTTTATGAAAATCAGCCTGTCATGTCATTGTTAATGCTACTTGAGAATATTTTTTACAATTAAGTATCGTGTCTTTTACACATATGTCATAGATATAATATAGTTCACTGATTCTTTTATTCAAAGTAAGAATATTAGAAGATAAGAATACAAGAAATTTAAAGATCCACAATATAAAATATCAAAGGGGACAATAAAATTAATTAGCAGGTGTATTCAACTTTCAAACATATAAACAATGCAAATATACAACAGAAACTTTAAACAGCTAAATACATACCGTTATATTTTTTCTTTATTCTAGCAATAATACTGATCGTACAACATTTCAACGATGTTCTTAATTCAGTATCCACGATAACATTATTCCGGATTGGTTTGGAAATAATCCCCGTCATTACAATCTAAAATAGGTTAAAAATATTGTCATAGTAAAAAGCAGTACGTTAAAAAAAAAAAAAAAAAAAATAGCACTTGCTGTAAAAACTTTTCATAAAATGTAACACTTCACAAGATTTATAAAAGACTTTACGATGTCTATTGTGTCTAGGCACAATTATTGCCAAGCTCGAGGAGAACGTATTTGCTTATACTTTACAAAACGCGACAGAGCGATAGCTGCAAGAGAAATTCCGACTTCACTTCTCGAACGACAGTAAAGAACTGACTCTTCTTTTCGTAACCTGTAATTTTCATGCTGCACGTACGTTGCGGTAAAGCTTGGAGAGATGCGAAAGAAAACACCTGGGTTTGATTGACACTTTCCGCTAACGCCAACGGAGACAATTTTTTCTTAAAACTCGGCGTAATTATCCAGAATTGCAGGGAAACAGGAAGAAAAAGAATAAAGGTAACGTTTCTTCTTGGAAACGTATTTATTATTCACGCGCACCGGCGGATAGTCATTTCCACCCTCGTGCATAATTTACAAGTTGTGTCACGCGACGGTGTCAATATTTTTGTCCCCCTCTTTAATTTTCTGCGAAGCGTGTAAAGCCACGGCCGCGGCCAAACGCTTGCCGACCGTCGAAGAGAATGCACTTCGTTGGCTACAAGTATCACAGAGTCCTGAAGTTCTGCTTCTTCGTGATGGGACTGACATCGTACAAACCAACGCACTTAAGAGTAGTGCATACTACGATCGTATATTTGACACTTCTTCTCGGTTCAACATTTTTCGTGGTAAGAATATATCCCACTCGTACGAAATATGATTTATTCAACCGATTTTCTAGTCATGTCAATGCACTACTTGTGAAAAAGTTAATCTTTCATTTACATTTATGCTATCAATCGTTGCAGCTCTCCCTCGACAGCAAGACTTGCACCTTTCAGTTGTCTTCATTGCGAATAAACGTTGCAATTTTAATAGCACATGTAAATATAACATATGGTTTGTTACTTGTAAAATCTATAAACGTAAGTAACAAGAGTTCAATTAATTTGAACTAGTCGTTGTAATATCGTATCATCAAGTAACAATTTTGTCCTGGATTTTTCAAGATGGAGGAATGGTTAAGGGATATGAAACGTGATTGGAATTGTATACAAGACAAAGAAGAATTTAAAATACTTAAAACACATGTAGCGATGGAAAATCGTTATATAAATATTTATTTAAGTAAGAAGTAAATTAATCGTCGTATAAGACGGCAAGGAAACGTATAACGATAATACTTTACGATGCATTGCAGTTATAATTTGTTCCAGTTGTTTCGTTATTGTTGTAATGCTGTCTTTTCCATATCGCATTCTCGGGATTTCAATATCTAACCAAACTCTGTGCTATTTACCGATTACACTAACGCTTCTGAAAAAATCTCGAAATTATTATTTGAGTGTCATTTTGACGCACATTATAAATATTTTGATTGCAACAGTTTTTTACTGTCGTGACATTTCCTTTTTACTGACTATTTTGCATACACGTGGACTGTACAAAATTGCTACGTGAGTATATATTTTGATTCTATCTTCTTCTGTTCTGCAAACAGTGATTGGAATATATTACGAATATTGGAAGATATTACGAAATTTTTTACACTTATTAGTTACCAAATGGAAAATGCCATGAATGGAAATTCGATAGAAATGAAGAAGGATACCGTAATACGTAACAAAATAATAAATTCAATGGAAATTTATAATTTAATAATAAAGTTAGTATGTTCTCAGTTCAGTGTTAATATGTCAATATTTATGGAAAGTTTGTTTATGCGAATATTTGCTGTTTTTGAACTTAAATACTTTAAATGTTTTCCTAAGCTCTAATCTACACTAATGTGAAATTAACTCATTACATTACGTAGACGTGCTTATGTTATATTAATTCATTCTTTTTTCGAAGGTGGATTACATGTCTGAGACACAATTTTTCATTTTCCTGTCTATTATCCTTTGTAACAGTGTCAATATATTACGCAGTGATCATATTTAATGTAAGTAACATCGCAGTCACGTACTGAAAATAACGCATACATAATGTGACAGAAATCTGACGATTTGTCAATTGTCTCAACTAACAGTACAAAGATTAATCTGGACAAAATGTAAGATTCGAGATTTAAAGTAATGATTAATTCTAAGATTCGTAACGATTGAAATTGCAAGGCTTCTTGATGAAATGTAAATAATAAAATAATAACAAATTCTTTGAACCTTGGAGTCTGAAAAATAATGGAATCTATATCAGAGAAACCTTTCTACGTAAAATACAATGATATTTTTGTAATACATCTATATTGACATACTTACTTAAAAAGATAAAAACTTAAAACTTAAATTAAAGATAAAAAGTTAGAACTCAAAAAAATAAAAACTTAAAGCTATTTCATTTTAGAAATCGTCAGATTCGCATTCTCAATCCTGTATTTTATTACGTTTGTGGTCTACTCATACTCTGTCTAGATTTCTAGGGCGATATCTCATGGACATAGTTTTGTCATGATTATGAACCTTGTTATCATTATGTGTATTACAATTTTGGTTATTAATATATACCATACAATACAATGCGTATACGACGAAAGTCAGAAATTCTTTTATATTCCGTAAGTACACCAAATAATTTTTAATTATTGGTATTTGATAATTTTTTTAACCGTTAACTGATCGCTAATTGTTTTTTTATTACTTTCTAATTACATTCTATATGAGATTCATTCTATATGTGGTTGTCTATTCGTTGTTTTAAGCCATATATACATATATGTCTTGAAAAGTATATTTATCATTATATTAATTCTATAAGTATACTATTATACGTTACATATACATATAATTTAAATATTATATAATTTTACTATTATTATACATCATTTGCATATTATAAATAATAGCTTCATAATAGGTGTCTAAGAAACAGGTGAATTTTTTAAATTATTTGGTATCATATTCAACTGTCATTAAGTTAATAATTAAATCATATTAGAGTGACCAAAGTATTCAAAACTCTTCCTTTTCGAGAAATAAACATTTTTCATTTTTATCGAACATTAACTACAACAGAATAACTGTTAGATGCTGAGTTTCAAACATAATTTGGACTTTTATTTGTAAGAGTAATTTAAAAGTTTGATTTACGATAATAACATTATTGACGAAATATTTAAAAATCGGATTACTGCCGTATGTGAAAAAATTTGGAATATACTAATGTATATTAAATATGTATTGAATTGATATATATTGAATTTGAAATATCAACATCTTGTAATTTTTCAACATCTCTTTTCAGAGAAGTACGTATTAAATTTGTTAGAAAAGAAATGAATTTCAATTTCGATTCGTCTGAATAAATATTGAATATTCTTACAGTATTTCATCATAATCAAAGAGTGAATCTCGGAACGGAAGTGTTTTCAGATTTATAGTTCCATTTATGTGCCTTAGTGGCTGTCCAGTATCAAAATTTGGTCAGTAAAGATGTAAAGTGTGTTAGAGTACCAGTGGAATTTCGAATGAATGAACAACATCACAAACATAGTTTCATTTGAAAGAATTAGTGGTGTGAGAGAACCCGAAAATATTATTCGCGTAATCGGGTATCATTTTCAGATCGGAAATTCCGATCATCGAATTTTTGGATACATTTTTGGGTTTTCATACACCTATAAAAAAACCAAATTGATGGCACATCCTATCTAGACCATCATAACGTGTTTTCCTTGAAACACAGTAAGTTCCATCTGCAAAATTTTTTTATAGTAACGAATTACTTTCAAAGACAATTAGAACAACTCACAAGCTTACGCAAAACAAGTAAATTCTTAAGCAAAGAAGCATCGTTTACAAACAGAAAATTCTCTGTAGAATGTAAAATTATATAGAATAGAATATATAATATCACGTTTTAAAATATATATTGTCATTTTAATAGAATATAAAATATCACGTTTTATTCCAATTCTGTTAACTAATCTCAATATGGCTTCCTCAGATATACCGTGGAATGGTATAATTTATCGTTATCGATACAGAAATTGCTACTTTCGATTATACAAGGAAACAATCACTCAGCAGTATTAAATTTCTATGGTATATGGATACCTACGTTCAAAAATTTGAGCGCGGTAAGAAATATTTCCGCGAGAATCCAAAATACATAAAATGAGAAAGAAATACTTTTCCAGCAATTCAAATTATCTTGGTCCTACCTTATGCTATTGTATTCCACTCAAAACTAGTGACAACGATCGTAGCACATTAGCGGATCATACGAGAACATGATATACCAGTTGACATACGTTATTATTGCCACTATAAGATGATAATTTATACTAACATTGCACGCATTTGGAATATGATATAATGCACCGGAATAAAAGTATACTTGGAGTTCATTCATTACGTGAAAAGCATGACTAAAGGTATCATCTTTAAATTAAGTACGTCTCGTTATGCACTGTCAGTCACAATCACTGAAAACCATTAGGTTAGAGAATTACGTATTTATTACATACTTGTATTTATCCATTTACTCATTGCAAAGTTCTTGTAATAAGAGACCTTGCCTTAATATTTCCTTTTTCGTTTTCTTTGGAAGTTAAATTCATAATTATAATAATCTCCTCAACGTCTATTCTGTTCAGCAATATTATGATACTGACATAACTTTAGAGTCAAGTTCACGACGTGGGTAACGATTGCTCAACAATGCGTAATGGGCCTTATAACCTAAAATATTGCCTCGCAGTAAAGACTATACAGGCGAAATATTGTTTGCTCTTGTTTTTGTTTGCAGGAATTCTAAATTTTCTAGTGATTTGTTTATAGAATTCCAAGGCATTTTATAATTGTTGACAATTACTGATCTAAACACTGCGTCAGTCGAGTTGAAATTGAGTCTAAAGACCATAAATAATTTATTTATCTATTTTTAGTTGAATGGTCGCTTTAACTGTAAACAGAAATGTTTTAAGAAATGTTTTATATTATAAAAAATGATATTAATTAACTACACCTCAATTAATTGTATGTACGTTACTTGAACTATTTCTTATAGATATAATTTTAAATTTAAACACATAAATTTAAATATTTGAACACTTTAAAAACATATCAGTAGATATGGTTATCTATTTCTTTGATTTTGTACAAAACTTCTTTATTTTAAAGATACTCTATCTTTGTATATTTCGAATAAATTTTAGGCATTTGAATTACATGAATGTGCTATTTTTTTATCTCCGAGTACAGAAATTAAAAATTAGTTTAATTAATTAGCCATAAGTTTATCGTGTTTCCTGTGAATTTCAAATATTGATCAAGTAACAAATTTCGATTCCAGAATAATTTTACCACCTATATGCATGCATACTAATTTATATTTTGTATTTAATTTTACATTATGAAAATATAATTATTCTGATTGTTTCAGATAAGTGATGGTTTCTTTAGGTGTCAGAAAGGATAAATTGTATTTTGAACAAAACTTAAATCCAACAATTAGAATCAAACACAATTGCAAGTGTTTATGTTTGCAATGAGGAACTTGTAATCACTAATGTATATTGGAAAGTTTAATATAAAAATCTCAACGACTGATAGACTAATATTCAAAATATTCTAGCTCATGATTACGAAATTCGCAGCTAATATGTCAATTTTGTATTAGCTCTTATAATGATATCATTTGGAACAATGCACTTTAATCAATAAATGCATTTATTTCCAGAACTATTTGTTATTTGAAAACATGTTTTTTACCAACTTTGTTTCGTTTTTTAGAGGAGAAATAATCTAATGCAATTAGTTTGTACGTAGCATGATGGACATATGAGTTAACTTTATTTTCTTAAATGAAATTACATAATTTTTCACAGATTCATGCATCCTGATTTTTTTTATAAAAAGAAGAATAATTTAAATTTAAAACTATTCGTTTAGGAGATATTTTAACTTAGTTATGTAAAATCAATGTAGGAACGAGGAAAGGCAGTATTCTTGTATTCATACTGTTTTCGCCTTTCGAGCGATAGATTTTAATTAAAAATGAAGTTAAAATATCTCATTAAATTAATAATTTTTCAATGTGAGTCTATATCTTTTCATATCGAGCTGCATCCATTGATTCGATGGATCAAGAAGTATATCATTGTTTTTTTATAGTGGAAATAACGACGAAACCTCTTATAAAAATCACTTGTTAAAAAGAAAAAAACTATATACATCACAGAATGTTGTCCTTCAAACTTTATAACTTTCGTCCAAAAAATTTTTTTTCGTACAACACAAACCTTGGAAGTTATTCGAGGTGAGCACGTTTGGTACATTACTTATATAGTATATAGTATATAGTATATAGTATATAGTATATAGTATATAGTAGTATATTACTTATATAGTTTATAGTATATAGTAGTATATTACTTATATAGTATATAGTATATAGTAGTATATTACTTATATAGTATATAGTATATAGTAGTATATTACTTATATAGTATATAGTATATAGTAGTATATTACTTATATAGTATATAGTATATAGTAGTATATTACTTATATAGTATATAGTATATAGTAGTATATTACTTATATAGTATATAGTATATAGTAGTATATTACTTATATAGTATATAGTATATTACATTCCTTTTTTACTTAGAAAAGGAATTGGTCGATCGTCAAATATAGTGTATAAATCGATCGGTCCGATCTGATGACTCGTCTCTAAAATAGAGAAAGTGGCTTGCCACAAATACGACTATATTAAATTATAAACGATAATATATTGTTCCCACAGACATTTAAAAAAGACAAATTATAAATAAAAATTTAAGAAAGTTAAGAGTAAAATATGTCTTATATTAAGAGGATATACTTAGATAAATATTCGCAAAATGTTGGAATTAAAGGTTAACTAACATTCAATTCGAACGAAATGTCGATTAATAAATATTTAGTAAAAGTCCCATTTCTTACAGATAAACAAATTCATGAATTCTTGAACAAATTAATAAATTGATAAAACTAACATATGGTTTTTCCAAAAGGAATTCTATCCTTCACACATTTAAGACGGATGACGAACTACAGTTCTCATGTTTAAAAGCGCAGTGAAAGAACTGACAAATACAATGAATAAATAATGATATATTAATATTAAAAACATAATAATCTGTTCTAAAATTTATAATACGTCAATCTCAAATATATGAAGAAAGTCAAATTTATTTCTTCATGTATCGAGATTGAAGTCCGTTTCAAATGTGTTACGCAGAATCTTTCGCATGTTTGTACAAAAAAAGTTGAAAGTAAAATCACATAGTGGAATTATAAGTTGCAAGTCTCACCATGTAAGTGTCAAAATGTTGCTAAAAATTTCTAAATCCTCATTTGCTTTTGCATGTCTATATCACTTAGGCGCCTGTGTCATATATGTATGTCTCCATTTATGCGTTCTTCATTACTTTCAGGATGACTGTCCCACCATTGTCGGTTCAAACTGGCTCAGTCGGTGTCATAATAATCGCTTAAGTCTCAAATTGTCCGATTCCCATTTATGGTTTATGTCAAGACTATATCGACAAACTATCCTCGAGACTATGCGGCTGATTGTGAGTATCTTGACACAAACTAAATTTGTCTAATCAATTAAGGCTAGTGTGTGCTTCCTTATACTCCAACACATTATGAATCACAAATATGCATGAAAATATTTTTGTATATTCTTTCGAACGATCCCTTTGCCAATCAAGATGAAATTTGGAGGTTGTTAGGAAAGGTGTAAAAAGACTCTAAATATAACATTGTAACTTCGGAAACCGTTCATAAAGAAAGATAATTTTACAAAATCTGAAATATGAAAGACAATAAGGGAAAGAAAACAACATAAAAGTCAGATGGCAATAACGTTGCTATAATTAGATCAAACCACTACATAAGTAATATGTATAAGTTTACGATGCAGTTTTGTTTAACTTTAGATGTTTCAGATATTCTAAATATTTCTAAATATTTAAATTACAGTTCTAATGTTTCTAATATGACTAACGGGAGTCATTCGAAACTATAGCCCACATAGTACGCTATAGAATAAATATTAGTTTATTTGAAAGCATTTGAACAAAAATTAAAAAAAAAAAAAGAACAATACACAGAGTTCCCAGACACCCATTTAAATATTATCCGTGCCCAGTGTTGCTTAACTTCGGTGATCGGACGAGAACCAGTGCTTTGCTTATAAATTAGTTTACTAAGTATTGTCTAAGTTTACAGTGAGGTACAATTATCTTCAATAAACGCGAGATTACAATTTATTTGATTTGCTCCTTAATGGCCTAGTTACTAGACATCCTTAAGGCTTACAATTAGTATCACAACAACAGTTTGCACTGTTATGTTTTCTCTTTTGCATATATTGCCTAGTTACTAACATCCTTAAAGCTTATAATTAATATCATAATATAATAATAATATAATAGTAACTAGGTAATATAATAATATAATAATATAATTATTATATTGCCTAGTTACTAAATATCCTTAAAGCTTATAATTAGTATCATAACAATTAATGGCCTAATTACTAAAAGCTTATAATTAGTATCATAACAAGTTTGCACTGTTACATTTTCTTTTTTGCGTATGTTGATCTCGTTTTAATTCTACTATTTGCACTATTATTTTATTATATTATCTTACTTGTATTCCAGAAAAGAGTAATATTACTTGAGCATTGACAAAAATAGGAGAAACCTGGCTTTATTATAACTTTTCGTCTAGATTTAACATTGGTTTCTGTTACTCAAAGCAATTTATATACTAAAATGTGAAATCTCTAGTTATTGACTTGTGCTCTTCATTGTGGATAGATAATTATCTACAACGTGTCTTTTGCGAGAATAGGTGAACAACTTGTTGCGTGAAACTGAAACTACTCGTATGTAAAGTACAGCAATAGGAACAGTAGCGTGTAAAACAGACAGGCATGAGTAGATGATTGATATTAAATTTCCATAACAAACGATCGTTATTTTCTCAATGAGTTCTAAAGACACATTACTATAAACGAGAAAAGGTGTATCACGAATGTATACAATTTGTTTTCCCGCCCAAGGTGAAATGATCACAATTTCACCGTGTAGAAACTAGTAATTTCTGCACTTTTCTTCCTTTCAGTCTGAAAGCGTAGTATATATGAATAAACAACCATGTGGATCTTATAGACAGATTAAAGTCATATACAATAGAAGTCAAATAGGATAAAGCTGTGATGAGAGCTGTTGCATGTCATAACAATGCTGTTTTAGGTATCCATATTGCAAGCAGACTATAGACTTTCATTTATAGAATTTTAAAGTGTAAAATTGCACAGAATGTACATAATATGAAAAAGTATTATAAAATATGCAAAGTGCAGTGCTATTATTAAATTTATTGAATAAGACAATTTTCTACCATAATTCTATTTTCTTTGAATATATTTTAAAAGCGTGTATTTGAATAAAAATCTGCAATTCATATACCCATTTTCGTGGAATGCTAAATAAAATTTTATTTTTAGAGAAAATAACAAGTCATTGATACAATTTGTTTCTCCAATTTGTTAGAAAACGATTGTTCTTGTCGTTGTTAAATTGAACAAATATTAACAATGATCCAGAAGTGTTCGTTCATTTTGTAGAAAAAGCACTCACAAGTTCTAAAACGACATTGTTATTAATATAATATCTAAATAAAAGAAATGTTTAAATGATTCACGAACACAGCCATATTCGATGAAGATGGTGTACTAAAAATTACAGTAATGTTGTTACTCAGATATAAAATTCGAAAAAGGTCATAAATTTACTTATGCATCTCAAAAACAGTCTTAAAAAAGTCTGAACATTTCCTTCTTGTTCCTGTAACAATATTGTTTCTGCACAAAATTTCAGTGATGTTTCCAGTTCTATATCCAAATTAGTATTCTGATCTTGATCTGAAAATGATCTCCTTTATTGCAACCTGATCTTGACTGAAAATAAACTTCTTCATTTCAATCTGGAAAATGATAAAGATATTTTGTCATATTCAAAAGTTATGAGAAAATTAACACCCACTGTAGAAAATGTTTGTAAAAATGTTTTAGAACAGGCAGTGTTCTCTATTTGCCTGTTTGTCTAGCACACTCTTTCACAAAACTGAAAGGTACATTTCATGGATGTATCACTAATGATGCAATAATAATTTTTAAAGGCAGTATACAACCTGACTTGCCAAATAAGAGTAAAGAGCTAGTTCTTTCTCCGCCATAATTATCAAGTTACCATAAAACTTAGAAATAAGCGAGGACATCTGAGTTTGATTAATATTTTCCTCCATGCTATGGAGACAACTTTTTCTTAAAAGAAAATCGACAAAGCAAGTGTGAAAAGTGCAGGAAAACACGTTTCAATTGTCGAAGAAAATGAACTTAATTGACCACAGACATTATAGACTATTGATTTTAATTTTATTACTTTTTATTTACAGCACTACTTTCTATTCGCTTTATAAATTTAAATTATATGCATAATCTGTGTGTATTCAATATTATTCGATTTTGCTCATAATTTCAAAATTAAAAGTTTCATCTACACATAATTGTTCAAAATTAAATTAGTTCAAAAATACAGTAAATAGACTATGAAACAAACAATTTGTCAAATTTGTTTAATAAAATTGTTTATCAAATTAATGAAACAGCGATTAAACAAACGTGAAATATATCACTGAATATTTGTTATAAATAGTTATGACAAATTTCATTGCAACATCTTTTAAGAGTCAAGAGTTATTCGAAAATGTCACGAAAATTCTCCATCGAAAAGTAGTCTTAGCGAAATCCAAATGGACTTTGTTCAACTGATTTTAAGAGTCAAAGAAGCATTCCTGCATCAGTGACGCTTCTGATGCTGACATAAGCTACATACATTTCAACATGTGTGTGGGCCTTAACGTCCGCCACGCGAACTATCGCAACTGACTGTTGTGCCGTGCGCATTTATTATTGTCGTTCCGACCGCTGACTCGCAAGCCTGTTATGTTAGTATCTTTCAAAAACGAAATTTCTTTATGTTAAATTTTTAACAATTTTATTATGCATTGCAAATAAATTCTACAAATTTTATAACATACGTTGTATATAATGCATTCTACAGGATATCCATAAAGTCTCTTTACAATTTCAAAAATTTATTACAAAGGCAAATAAAAAGATAAGTGGAAATTATTACAAAATGAGACGTATATATTTAAGTTGTTTTTTGTCTCATTTAATACACCTCTATATGGGGTATTATAGCATTAGTTGCACGAAGCACATCAGTCGGAACCACGAGAAGAAGGTCACCAATTATCTGTGAAATGTCGGTAAAATTTGTCGAGGTTGAATTCTAAACGCGACATTCTATAGTTAGTGAGATCACTATCACTTTTGACGACTACTATAAGTTAACTGTGAAATTTAGTTTTAAAAATCTCTCATGCGATGCGTGAGTAAAATATACATGTCGAACGCAGGACTCCTATTATAAAGTTTAGGAAGAAGGATTACGTTTTTATTCGATAAAAAATTAACAATTCATTGTTGTCATTAAAAAAGTAAAAATTGTCAGAAAATAATAAAATTTAATAATACAAACAAGAAGAATTAAAGAAAAAAAAACTTCATTAAAATAAAATAATAAAATAAAAATAAAAATAAAATAAAAAAATAAAATAGTAAAATAAAAATAAAAATAAAATAAAAAAATAAAATAGTAAAATAAAAATAAAAATAAAATAAGATAATAATAAAATAAAAAAATAGAATAGTAAAAAAAAATAAAATAAAAATAAAATAGAAATAAATGAAATAAAAATAAAATAAAAATAAATGAAATAAAAATAAAATAGTAAAATTCATTTGTGGTATTTTTTTAAACAAGATACCACACAAAATGGCACTTTACAAGTCTACTGACAATAATAGCCTTCGCGCTCTAATTTTGAAATAATATAAACTGTTATAGGATGATAACCGATATGTGTGCACAGTAAAGTGTACAAAACAATTCGAGGAATGTCAGATGCATTGAGAAAAATAATTAACTCGGTTTACAAAGAGTAATATATTGTATGAAGAAAATCCAGGGAATCCCAGAGAGAGTAATCAAGCTTTCTTTTATAAAATACAGACAACAGTTATCTTATTAATATAGAGGAAACGTACCAGCAAATGACATATTCGTTACTTCCTATTGAAATTTGGAGTTTTTATAGTAAATGGTAATTTCTTATTTTACACGACGAGTATACACGTTAAATTAATTTATTAATCAATTAATCCAGAAATTAATACTGAGTACGTTGAATAAAATTGAAAACAAAATAATTTTTTTCTTTTTTTAAAAAATTGAAATTTAATTTCTTCCTTTCCCATCCTTTGAAAATTTCATTTCATTCTAACGAATGAGTATCGAACTGTATCCTATATTATCAATAAATATTACACTTATCGTAGATAGCGATATAATAACAGATTTCTAAACCTCTCAGGTTTTCAGTATTCTTCAGTATTATGTAATTTAGGCAAGAGTGGAAAGATCGACAGAATGCATATAACAACCAAAAATATATATAAAACACACAAACTAGAGTGCTTTCTATATTATTTATTATTATTTATTATATTATTTATTTATTTATTATATATTATTTATATATTATTTATTTATTTATTTATTATATATTATTTATTTATTTATTTATTATATATTATATATTATTTATTTATTTATTTATTATATATTATATATTATTTATATATGATTTATTTATATATTATTCAGGAGGATGAAATTTCCATGTGAATTCCAATTTTTTAATTGTGTTCGTAAAAGTATATAAATGCATAAATCCAAGCAGTCAAATAGTATTTTTCCAACAGTTAATAGAATTCAGGCTTTATATTCTCTCGAAATATTCTTTTTCGAAACATTCGAATAAATGAATAGGTGATTGCGCATAATCACTGGAAAATTAATTTTTGTTGTTTGGCTCGTAGTCAAATTAAATTTAAGATAAGATAAAAAACGCTCTAAAGACGATGTGTATAACATAAATATGTATGTACGAATAATACAATACTGTTCATTTTAAAGATGACGTACGTGTATCTGTGTAAACTTTATATCTCCTTGATTTTGCTCGTGAAACTTGTCTCATGATTTTATTTTTTTCTGGACTATGAACTTTATCACGTGTTATACTTCTGTCTTATCGACACCGCTTAACCAACAATATTCATATTGTAGTATTTCATTAATAGTTAAAATAGGATACCATTCTACACTCCCTCACCCCTGTTAGCAGTTTACGCGCTTACGTTCTTATATTCTTCGCATTGTTGGCTGACGAGGAAGTGCCCAGTGATACTTTGATTCTGGATATATTTGTTCCGAAACTCGAAATCGAAGTGGATCTCCTCGAGGGAAACCTGTTGATTGGATTGAACTGTAATTGTAAGTAGAAACACCTTACCTTTTGATGAAAAAAATTATTCACGACTCTTTTCCAGAAATATCGACACCAGAATTGACATTAGAATATAAAACGCTTCACACGCTTTCTAAAAAACGCCTCACTTTTGTTTTTAAATTATTAACAAAATTATTGGTGCAAAATTATTTGTTTGACGCGAACTATTCAGTTGTAGTGATGAATTGATGAACACCAGATTTGAAAGACACAAACTGATTAATCGCTTGCGTGGTGTTCACGAAGATTTCTGGTTCGATCTGAAAATTTTATATTTTCGAGAATTGATTTTAAAAAATAATGACATTGAGTATTTTATGTATTTTCTTCACATCATATGCATTCTGCGCAATTTTGCATCTTCGGTTTTTCCTATAAATGCATAAAAATGAAGAGAACACGTTACATCTGACAGATTGATAGTTAATTATCTTTTTATTGATCTAAATCAAATCGGCGTCTATTCCAGAAAAAAAATATACTCAGAAGAAAAATATCATTTTGAAATATGGAAATATTACTTCAAGAGTTCTTGCTTGCTAGACGTTTAAGTTTTAATAGATTCTAATAGATTTATAAATCCTGTTTTAAAAATTGATCCAATATTATAATTTCTAATAAGAACACAAAAAGATGCAAAACAAATATTCTTGATTTCAATAAAGACTTGACAACAAATATTCTTCAGCTTAAATCTACGCCAGTGACGTACAACTCTTTAAAATCAAATTTTATAAATTATTATTATTTATAAAATCTTTTTGCAATTATGTTCCAATAAAATAATATTTCAGAAATAAAATTAATAATTGAATAATGATAAAGTTAACTCAATTAAAAATATGTAAAAATGACATAGAAGACACTACATCACTAACAAGTATTATATTTCACTTTTTGTTTCTTTTTTTTTTTGCTTGGCAATTATTCTGTAACTCGTAATACATTATTACGAATTAAACATGCATGAGTTGTCCGAGGAATCAAAGTACGAATAGGAAAGGATATATAAGCGTAGCAGAGATGACCTACAGACAATAATCGTTTAGCACTGCAGCAAGCACAAGCTAGTATACCGGAATCGAAGTCTTCTTTTATTCAAATAAATAGTTCTGCGAAACTAAAGTAAAGTATAATTTCTTAATTTTATTATTATTTTATTTATTATACTCTTTTCTTTTTTATAATAATAATAATAATTATTATTATTATAATTAATTAATTTATTTATTATACTCTTTCTGTTTATTAATTAATTAATTTATTATATTCTTTTAATTATTATTATTATAATTATCTACTTTTTTAATTATTATTATAATTAATTAATTATACTCTTTCTATACACTGATGTACACAATTTGGACATTACTCATCTACGCGATATAGAAACAGAAATTTTTCTATGATAGAAACAGATAATTCATTCGAAAGTTAAAACAGTTCATATTATTGAATATACTATACTATACTAAACAATGCAACCGTGGCTATAATAATTGTATATTACAGTATATTTCAGTTTGAATTTAAATAATACGATATTATATATATTAAAATTCAATAATGGTTTGCTACTTTTATTTATGTTATGGGGAATGGATGGGGAATTTGTGTTATGGAGACTAGATTTATGTTATGAGGAATGGTTTGTCAAATGAAGTACATATGTTGGGATGGGTTCTTTTTAAAAACAAAAAAGATAATTGCTCTGTCTAAGTTTGTCTATTTCCATTTCTGTTTTTTCTCCAGTCAGTAGGAAATCAGTTGAATGCAAATCATTTGGAATACTTATGTTCTTCGTTAATTATATAAAACACGCTGCTCATTATCAGTTTCTCGCAATCATTAAAGTCGATCATGCGACATAATATACATTATAAAATGTTTTCAGCTATTAATGGCGCATGTTATCTGATCGGTTTTTGAAAATTTTCTTTTTCATTGATATTTTATTCCTAATGCAGCATGACTAAACTGTTTAGTCCCAGTTTTTTCTCCAATAGAGATATTTGCGAGAATAATGAAAGTATCACGAATAATTATTAATTACTGAATAATTATTAATTAATGAAAGTACTGTGAATAATTATAGCGATTTATATAAATGAATACAAGGACGATTTATTTATGAAAGATAATTATCGTATGACGCATTATAATTTGAGTAAGAATTATTTCTTGTCATCCGCGTTACTGACGGAAATGTATCGATATACATTTAAAAATTACAAGTTCAAGGTTGCTGCGAAATCTGTCACGACTAAAGTTAAAACAACGTTTCAAGTTGTAGTTAAATTACATTTTCTGTGGAAAAACAAAATTTATCATCAATCTTTTATATCTATATAAATCATAAATAATGCCACGAGTATCAAGAAATGTTGGAGGTATCAATAGGTTTGCCATAACTATTACGAGTTATTAGGAGAACGAAAATGTGATATTTCAACAGGACAATGCACTTGTCCACTAAAAGATGGTTCAGTGGTTACAAAATTAAAGACCTGGACTGGCCATCATTGAGTCCAGACTTAAAAATTACGTATACTTTTGAGGGCTAGTAAAAAAAACTACAAATTTGATTGACATGAGCTTTTGTGGTTTACTTTAACACATTATGAACTATAAAGAGCAACATTAAAAAAGAGAAATAGAGCGCTCTTATTTAACTTTTTAACGGCAGCCTTTTACATAACTTTTTTTTACATTGCCTATCGGTGTGCATGATTCCAGTCAAACAGTATTAGCTGCAACAAAAAGGCAAAAAAAGTTTAAACGTAAACCATATTCTCTTGAGATTGACGAACCAACATTTTCATTTCTGTGAAAATTATGCAAATACGTTCTTTTTCTTGTTTATATTTTTCGAAATTGTTAAAAATTAAAAAATTTTCGATCGTCAATCCCTAGTAAATGTTACACTAAAGATACGTACCAAGTTTCACAGTAATCGGTTGGTCCGAAATTCCGAGATATCTTGCACACCGTTTCTAAAAACATAGTTTCGAGAAAAATGCGTTTAAAGTTTCAGAACGTCATTTTTCATATGTATCCTTTACTTACTTTTTTTACTTACATATCGCGGCTCACATTTCTTGTAATTCACAACTAAATTGAATCCAAGTTCCCTGATATTCAATTCACCAAAAGTAATATTTGAATCACACGATTTACACTTTATAATACTGCTTAAAGTTGTAAACAGTGATGCAAATTCAATTATTCTATATCCGCGGATTTATTATTATACCCCAAAATAAGGCGTTTTAAAGGCTAGGACCTTTTGTATCTTATTTCAAACTACTACTTAAAACGAACAAAAAAATCGATTTTTTGAAAATTTCACACTGTCCTGACGCCTTAAATATCCTATCAAGAGTGTTTGGGCACTCTTAATAAAGAACGTTTGTAACAAAGAAAAGCCGGAAATTCAGTCGAAAGCTGAATTACATAGAATAAAGAAAGTAGAGAAGATATTCCGATAAACAGTATAACTGAAAGTTGGAGAAACAGGAAAATTATTAGCTATAATTAAGAATAAAGGTCGTTTCACTAACTAAATAATTTTCAAAGTAAATTACTGCTTCAACATTTTTTAAAAATAATCAAACACTTGAACCTGTATTTATTCACAGTTCAACTGGATGATTTTATGTTCAACAACTAGATACTTTCTGTAAATAAACAGCATGGGGAAAAAGAATTTTAGGTATGCGAGGTTCGAAGGATTGTAAAAAATAATTATTTTTTATATACATTCTCATTCACGAAATTTTACAAAAGAACCTTCTTCGAATCTATAATTATTCACAGCACTGTGCATACAACAATGAATCCGAAAGTTACAAACATTGTTCAAAGGATATAATTACTATAGTAAAAATATATGCAAAAAATATGCAAAAAATATTCAGAAATTGTGGAAACTATAATATAATAATAGTAATATTAATAATAGTAATATAAATATAATATAATACTATAAATACTATAATAATACTAATATAAATATAATATAATACTATAAATACTATAATAATACTAATATAAATATAATATAATACTATAAATACTATAATAATACTAATATAAATATAATATAATACTATAAATACTATAATAATACTAATATAAATATAATATAATACTATAAATACTATAATAATACTAATATAAATATAATATAATACTATATAATACTATAAAACTATAATATAATAATATTAATAATATGCGACGTATACATTAATATTACAATATTGTTGTCATTACAAATGAAAATTGTACGAAGTTTAATAATTACGCAATCTATTCTTTTTTCTTTCATCATTTCGAACATCAGTGCAGAGTTTGAGGCACTTGAAAAACAACTTTCAAAGTAAATACAAATTCTCAACTCTGAATATTTCTCACGTTCGCCATGCCATAATATACAAAATCAAAAGAGTAATTATTGTCTGTTTCTTACCATTAGACAAGCAGCAGTGAGTTTCTTCTAATCGTTCACCGACCAGTGAGGGAATAAAAGATATTCCAACATGAACGTCCAACTGCATCCCATGGATCGTGTGCAGGTCACATTGCCCAACTACTCTTACGTGTTGAATTTTGAGAAGAATTTCGTTTACTCAGAGAGTCAGACGTGGATGAGAGATCATTTTCCAAACTGTTTCTACTATTCTGCCATTTACGCTCTGTTAATTTTTGGAGGACGTCGCTACATGTCGGACAGACCGAAATTCGAGCTGAGAGGCCTGCTTGCTTTATGGAGCACATTGCTTGCGATATTATCTATTTTTTGTTTCAGTAGAATATTACCGGAAATGTACCATGTATTAACCAATCATGGGTATTACTATAGTGTTTGTGTACCTAGGTAATTTCACTTTTGCACCTTACTCTATCGAAATGGTCTCACATTACTCTTGGGTATTATTCATTTTTGTATTTGACATACAAACGATTGAAAGTGTTGTACGAATGAAGACTAAATTTCTAATATCTTTTTGTAGTATTGATCGTGAAACATTTATTTAAATCTACACAAATTTATTTACAAACCATCTCCAAATTTATCACAAACTTGTCATTCTTTGAAATTTATTGCGTCACTCTGAAGTAACGTGATAAATATTGCGTGTTCGTATATACAAGGTACATTATATTTATACGTGCAATTTTAAATAACAGAAAAATTAAAAAAAAATCACTTATACAGCTGTAATATGTTATTTGGATTGCAAGCAATAATAAATAAAAAATACACGTAATGTCCAAAATATATTATACATTATATCACTTGGTCGATGAAATGAATCTCTATTTAAGTATTTTTCATCATATTCATCGATACAAAAATTTAAATAAACATTCGGATAAATTTTCTCCAGAAATGACACGACCAGCGAATGTAAATTACTGTATATTAAGACATACAATATAACTATAACAACACAACGTCACATTCATAAAATCGATAGATCATTCCGAAACAATAAATTAATCAATTTCTTACAATGCGATATTCTTACAATATTGCAAACGCCATTAAAAAGACAAGAATTTAAATTTTTAAGAAATTAAATTTTTTTAAAAATATTCTGCTTAAAAGCAAGCAACATCAGATAACGAATCTACGTTAGTTTACATACTAAAATCAAGATACGATATGTAATAATATTTCAGATAAATTAATTTATAATACAGGTAATTACATTTTTTACAGATATCTTACACACAATCCAGTAAGCAGTTTTTCGTTATGGATATTTACCACAATGAAATTGATAGAATTTGGCGATACTGTTTTCATCGTGTTACGAAAGCAACCATTGATATTTCTACACTGGTACCATCACATAACAGTTTTGCTTTATGCATGGTTCTCGTATGTGGAAACCACAGGATCCGGCATCTGGTTTAGCTTAATAAACACTTTTATACACTCCATCATGTATTCTTACTATGCTTTGAAAGCAATGCGATTCAGGGTACCAAAATCTATCTCCATAATACTGACTACTCTACAGATAATACAAATGTTTTGGGGCATAGTTATAACTACTTCAGCGTATTACTACATATATATTGCCCAAATTCAATGCAATATTACGCCGACAAACCTCATATTTTCTATGCTGATGTATTGCAGCTACCTCATTTTATTCGTCAATTTTTTCAAACAGTCTTATCTGTCTAACAAGCGTGTAAATAAAGAAAAGAAAAATGAAACCAAGACTCAATAAACCACTGGCAAAATCCACTGTAATGAATATAGATTGGTATTAACTGATCATCAAAAAAAATTACTTTTAAGGAACTTTTAAATAGATTCTATTTGAAATGTGGATCGTAGAACAGAGAAATAAATGTGCTTTAAAGTAAAAGTTTCAGACAGAGTAGAACTTATGAAAAAAATATAAAGGTGAAAACTTTTCTGTCAGAGATAGACAAATAATTTGTTCGTCAATATTTGTGGCAAATACCAACACTGACTGCTATTCAACGAATACTTAAATATAAAAATGGATTTTTCCTGTAGAACTTTTGTTAAAATTGACTTAAAAATACTTATATTTTACTAGGACACTATTCAAAAATGTTCCTAAGTGTATCGTTCCTTTTTATAAAAATTCTACAAAATAGTTTTTTTTTTTGTGCGAAATATATAAGTTTGGATAGAATTTTTTTGAAAATAAAAAGAAACCATAAATTTTGATCTCTGATACGAACTTATGTTCACGTCACATTCAGTAATATCTTTCAGATATATTTCCTTTTTTAATTGCAATACTTTATTTATAAAACGCATGGAAGAAGGTTGTAAAATTATATTAAAATGTTTAAAAACCAAATGTTTAAAAACTATGTATTTTGTAATAACATCTAGTGAAATATAATTATTTATTCATGTAGAATCAGAAGGTGTTTTGAACAGTTTTTTCCTCTAATATGTTGAACTTTGTTTGTTAAGAAAAAAGTTGTATCGATTTCTAAATGATATTTAAAGATCATCGAAATCAGTGAAAGAGTGATTAATTTATAAGTTCAATGAGCAGTGTTTTAAAATCTTGATACTAACATACACGTATATCATTAAGTCGTCATAATTTATATCATTTTTATTAACAATTTATAACAATAAATGATTTCAATTGTTGAAAATGCAACTCGGTGAATTCATCTTAACAAGTAACATCGTATTATAAAAAATGAAAATATGCGTATGATGTCGTTTAAAAAAATAAATTTGACTTCGAACTTTCGAAACGGACGAGTTTTGCAAGAAATAATTTACAGCGCACAATGTGCCCCTTTACGTGCCAAACAATACTTTATAGAAATATTTTTTTCATAAATCCAATCTTTCATAAAATCAAGCTTGCGAGATAAAAGTAATTCATTGACACATTTGTAAATAAAACAACATTATATCTAATTGTTCATAGAAATATCATATCTCAATGAATTTTTTCATCAATAGATGGTAAATAGATGTTGATAGTTAAATATATATTTGCAATTTCAATGCATTTTTGTGAAATCGCTGTTTTAAATCGTTATATTCCTTCATTAATGGAAGCGTCGTCACGTTCAATTCAATAAATAATTCTCGAAACAAATCTGGCAACACTGTTCATATTTTTTAATTTTAATTTTCACCACTGGTAGCGCTGCGGTGCAAAACCTGCCTGAAGTCGTACGATACGGATGTGACACGAAAATGGTAATGAGGTGAGCTCTGAATCAATACATTTTAAATGAATGTATGCAATTTATTCATATATCTCATCTGTGGTTGCCAGCCAGATACATCAGTACACCGATACCCGAAAATATCGAAGAATTGTCGTGATTTTGTGTGTTCGCAGTTCCTTTCATTCCAAACAAATGATACGTTCCATGTTATACTCCTTAACAGTCCTTAAATTAGAAGCGGCAAAATGTCATATTGTAACACACGTTGAACATGAACTGACTGAATTTGTAAACCAAATGACCGAGCCTGCGGTTCCTTTTATACTGATGCAAATTATCAATAGAATAAAAGCAACTTCATGGCCATCAATGTGTGGAAGCATATGATTGGTGTTTGTATGAACAATGAAATAGTTCCCACTTAACCACACTTTAGACCTGACCAGCGCTTACGTAATTGGGACTACCCCCACTCTATGCTATCCTACCATAAGGCTCCGTGAAATATAACATTCGCGTACACAAAGCAAGCGATATATGAGTCGTTGTTTTTGAAAGTGGTGTAAGTCCATTTTCTCATATATTTGGTTTGCGTTTGAATCAATCTAAAAAGATTGGCGTTAATCAATTCGGATGATGGTTTCAAAATTATTAACCTGTTAAATTTTATTATGCAATAATAATAATTAATAAAATTGTTGAAGAAAATAAACAATTTTTTTAACTTCAAATGGACTTATACCACTTTCAATAATAACAAATTATGAAAAATAAAGACAATAGCAATTTTAAATCTATATTTTTATAAAAGTTGGCTTCTCTGAAATTTTTAATGTTGAAAATAATTAAAATGTAAGTACAAGAATAATTGAGTTTATTAAGAATTACTTTCAGTTATATTATAAAAAGAAAATATAAATAAACAAGTGTACAAAGTAAATTACTTCGGTAAGATAACTAATAATAACAAACTTATTTACATTTTGAACTTATTTCACCTTTTAGACTTAGCATGATGAAGTATTCATGGTAAATAGGAATTTATATAATGGCAACATAGTAATTTTGCTAAAATTTTTAGGCCTTCCTCGTTTTAAATAAATAAAAGAACTTTAAATAGCGCATTTTCTTCCACAGAGATTTTGCAGAAAATTTTGTGCGGTTTCATCCCTTTTAAACTTTATCCAGCATATGTTGAGCCAATTTATAATTTATAAATAATTTATAACTATATTTACAACTGTGATATTATATTTATATTTATAATTTATAATTACAAGTTATACATTTTTCTTAAATTCAATTCAGAATTTAAGTATTTCCTTTCTGGATTATGACAACGCGTGTAATGGCTTTCATTGCGTGGAGAGCTTTGAAAAAAAAAAGAAACTTTGAAAACTTTTACACTGAAGTCGTAATAATCGATAATTATTGCGATTAGAAAGTTGCTTTAATTATGATTATTAAGAATGGACTTATTTCACTTTCAAAAAAAAAAAAAAAAAAACATTCTTGCGATTTCTCATTCTTCTTTGATTAATTTATGAAGAAATCGTGCACCATTAAATGTGTGATTATAAATTTCGAAAAGAAGATATCTATATCTCGTTAAATCTACCATTAACTCAGTTTTTTCCAAAAGTGGACTTATACCACTTTCAAAAACAATGGCTCGTATGATACTGATATTGATGCCTGGCATCGAAGAAACAGTTGACAATCATTCCCACTATTTCGTTCGATGTCAATTCCTGGAATACCACCCCGCTTAACTGACCAGTTTCGGTCTCGTTACATAGTTATGTGGACTACTGTATTCGCAAGAGGCTCTTAAACTTAGCCTCCGAACGATTAATTATCGTTAAATAAGAGTTCAATTGAATCATTGTAATATTGACGTACTACTAACAGATTTTCGAAAGACACATTTTCGGAATTAAATTTCTTTCAATTTGAACGAACAAAGACAAAAATACTCCTGCGATAGAAAAAACATAGAAATATGTTAATAATTTTAAAGACTTACATATTTTGCAACATTGATTAACAAGAGATTTAAACAAAGCTCATCAGTCATGTCAACTTTGTCTTGTTAATTCTGTCACTAATCTTGTTAATTCTGTCCTAATCGTACTAGTTCCTTCATTCCAGTCTTTATTCGCATTGTCAATCATTATCGCTGACTGTAATTCTACTTTGGTTATCGATAACCACTGTCGACGGTGAAAAATTTAGCTTATTATACCACTAATGTTAACATCACTGATGAAATTTATTTTATTTACTATATTAATTATAATTATATATAATATTACCACATATAATTATATAACATTACTATATTAATGTATTTGAAAATAAAATGTGGCTTTTTAACGTTGATGCATCGTAGCATAAATTTGAAAAAATTAGATTCAAGAAATCCTAATCTCTACAATAAAAAAAGAAAAAATTTTTGTACAAGTTTTAAGGGATTATTGTCTCGAGAAAATTTAAATACAAGTAATAAAGCTATGAACCACATCATTAAAAAATATTTTTCGATCATAATGCAAAAACATCTTTAACGCATTGACCATTATACCGTATTCCTACTTTCCTTTACGAATGATTGTAATTCGAAATATATTATGTTTAATAACATTTGATCTTTCGCTTTGTTAAAAATTTTTTAGTGCATACAATTTATCTTATTCTAATCCAGTTTTTTAATTTCTAATTTTAATCCTTCAATTATTTTAATTTCTTGATACTAAAAAGTAATGTCGGTCATTGTGGTAGCCAACGTGTTAAAAAGAACGAAGTTAGTGTTGTCAGAATAGAAGTTTTATGCTTTGAAATGAAACCAAATGAATTGTCATGCGATTTTTCTTAACGAAGTTGTATATTATAATTTAAAATATCAACAATTTATCATCGTTACTGATTTAGTACAACGTAAACAACTTGCCTCAGTGTTACAAGCAATTTTTCCACAGAAATGGGATATTTCACTCTCCTAGATATCATTTTTATGTTATTTCCGATCAAACTTAAAATGAAATCCACTTGTTTTCTTATTTAATCTATACGTTTCCTCGTCGTACAACAAATGGTTTTTTTTACAAACGAATTTCCATGGTTCTCCTTACCCCAATCTGTACAAATATGTCTTATTTTTCTCCTTTTTCTTTTCGACAAAATTGTGAAGAGAATTTCCTCATCCTCCTCTTCTTCTTTTAACAGCGACAACAGTATATTCCGATACATTCCAGATCGAAACATCGGTTTCGGTTTTTCTATGCAAAAGCTTTTCGTTTGACAGGCGACAATATATTAAAAAAAGAATCGAAGTGATTTGCAATTAGCGCAAAGTCTTTATGTTTAAAGAAAAGTATATTACAGAGTCAGGATTTTTGTAATTTGTTTTTATAGTAGATCAGTGAATGTTGTTTACTAACACGTTGACTGTTACGATGGTCACCGCCAAGATAATTATCATTAACAAAGAATTTTAAATAACACAATATAGTAAAACGAAAAATACGCCTTTACTTTATTGTAATGTAATTGTACCTTATAGAAACTAAATACTTTGTTTCACAGACAAAACAGTGTAAGTTTCACGAGGCAGTCAACATGTTAATTTATTTTTAAGCATTATTTAATATATAATATTTAATCAATTATTTCAGTAATCGTGATTAACACTATGCCGTCCGCATACGTCTAATCGAGAGATTCTTTCGTTTCGCGCCGATAGAACTGACTCACATTATTTCGCTTGTCGCCGGCGGTTTTTCGAGGTCCTTGGGAGACAATAAATCGCCAAGTTTTACTAATCTCATCGTCAGTTCTCACGAGTTGTCAATCCTGTCCCTCTATTTTCTCGAAATTGTAAGGATATACATATGTAAATAAGTACAAGATTTTTTTGTATTATATATTTATTTATTTATATTTTGTTGAAGTATTTATCTTTTAAATTATACATGAAGCAAAGCAATCTCCAAGGTGTAGCGCAACTCCACAAGACTTGCACATTAAATTTGTTCTCCTAATTTTTTTGTTTTTATAACGTACATAACACCTTCTGCGTTGTCGGTTTCGAAAATACGCTGGTGTTCCTTTAGCTGGCCGGAAAGTCTGTTGACCGAATCACGATTGGAAGCACGATTGGATGTACTAGCGACCTTCAAGTTCTCTTCACAGGTAAATGATCCTTTATCCACGATTCGCATATTTTTAATAAAAAAATCATGAAAATGGAGAGTCTTGGATTCTGCATTGTAATGTTGATGCAGTTTGAACGCATTATATAATTAAACAGGTATAAGGTCACTTTTTTTGACCATTTTATGGTTTTCCTGTATATAGGATAGTAACTAAGAAATTGATCTGCTCGATCTACTCCCTTCATGTATTTATTATAATCCAAAATACTTTCGGGTTTTTGAATCGTGCTATTGGTTTTTCTGCATTTTTTTTTTTTTTCTGTCTCAACTAAATTGGCATTGTGTATGGTAGAAATTGTTCTTATCATTTTGGTCTTTCGATGCTTTCCATACTTACGCGAGTACTTCTCCTCTTCCTTGATATTTAGTTTCAAGTACATTTCGTTTAGAGTTCTTCAATTTTGCCGGTAATTCTCTGTTTTGTCGCAGCGTTTCGCAAACGAATTTTCTTCGTAAGCAAATTCTCCGCAAGTTCTACACTGTTGTAGTAATTATCCATGTATAGATGATGCCATTTTCCACAAAAATTTGTCAATAGTTCCATCACTGTATCCTTTAAAGGCTGTCTAATGCCAGAGTATATTTTGAAACGGGAAATATATCCCGTAATGGAATCCGCACAGCATCCGGACGAGTATACCATATTTTGTAATTTTCGATGGATTATAAACTTTAAAACTCAATCGTCCACGCCATGGTATCATTCCTTCATCGATTGAAATATTCTGACCAAGATTAAAGTGTTCTTGAAACTTTTTTGTGAAATGATCAATTATAGCTTGTACCTTGAAGAGTCGGTCGGCATTATCAGGTTTATTATTGTTATCCGAAAAAATGATAATATCTGTCGAAATCTATTACGAGACATCGTTTTGCCAAATATTGGTGTTTCCAATAATGGATCCGTCGACCAACAATCGTCCATCCTTGGTTCTTTTTATGATTCCCATAAGAATAACAAGCCCAAACCATTTTCTAAGTTCGACTGCCGTAACGTCGAAAAATTTAGCACTTTTTCTATCGGGCTTCCTCCTGTTGGAATTTTGATTGTAGTAACTTTTCGTTTCGGTACTAATAAATTCAAACAAATTGTTCCCTATAAATAATTCCACGACATTCTCGACGTTCTGTGTATCTCTGAGAAATACGTTAGGACCCGGAGATCCTTCGAATTCATTATTGTTCCTCGGTAAATCAAAATCTGACCACTCTCCACTGTTATCTTCGTCTGATTCTTCCGTATCACTTGGCAACGGTAGCGTTCGCCGAATTCTCCGTCTACGTATTTCAGAGTCATCCGAAGATTCTGCCTCACTTTGTTTTTCTGAAGATGTAATGTCTCCTTATTTCTTCGCAATCCTCAAATTCAAGTGGAACAACAGACTAGCTGTCCGCGCACTCATCACGTATAATCGTGTCTTCTCTTTCGTTTGCCATTATCAAAGGGCACAAGTTATTATGAAAACAAAAAACTTGCTATGTCTGGAATTTATTGTTACTTAAACAGAACACAAGCAATATTAGCGTTCGTTCGACAGCTTTGAACACGGCACCACAGTGCTGCCACCGGCGCTCAATTGTTTTGTGCAGTGCATCAACGTGGAGCCACCGGCGCTTGCCCGATAGTTTTCACCAGAGACCAAATCGGTATTACGGATACCGGAAAAATACCGGTATTTTTAGGTTACTATTCGATACCGGTTTGATGAAACCGAAATATTGCGAATATAACAATGTTAAGTCGGTAGATGTGTTTCGGTATAATACCGGTATGAATCTGATATAATACCGGTAAATAAAATAGTAATATATTAGAAAAGGAAAAGGAGACAATGATTAAATGTTTTCATAAAACTGTATAGTAAATTTGACGACGCTTATACACGCACACTTTATTTATTTTTATTAGCTTTTTTTATTAGTTTTTTATTTTATTTTATTTATATTAGCGGCTAGCAGATGTCGGAGAAAGTCGTTTTCTCAGACAGTTAGGAGAATTTACGACTCACGTGTCGCCTATGCTATTGAATTGTGAAGGCCAAGTTTATTTTTTACAGTGCATAAAGACCAGACATCTGCACTCGAAGTTTTTAGTAATTCGGCCACAATAGCATTTCCGCGAAGCGTCGTAAAC